TCTGCTACTGCGTTTTGTTTGAGGGATAGGCCCATCCTCCTCTGCACCATTTCGCCTTCTTTTCCTGCAGAAAGTAATGGGAGATATTAGTACAGCTTGTACTCCTATACAGAAGCTGATAATGGGGAGAAGCAGCCCAGAAAATATCTTTCCTTCAAACTCTGACTGCATCTCAGCTCAGGAACTTTTGACCTGAACAGAAGGCAGAAATGTAGAAAAGAAGGATGCAAGAGTCAAACAAAGCTCTGGGCAATGAATACCAGAAGTGAAGAGAAAGACAGCTTTTTTGTTTTACAACACAATGATCATAAGCACCAGGTGGAAAACTCACACCTTTTGGCTCTTATACAATGACCCACTCTGACCTGGATGGTTCAGGCTACTCTGATCTTGTGAAACCTCAAAAGGAGTTGGCCCTGGTTAGTACTTGGATGGGAGACCACCAAGAAGTCCAGGGTTGCTCTGCAGAGGCAGGCAATGGCAGACCACCTCTGTTCATCTCTTGGCTTGAAAACTCCACAGGGTCAGCATCAGTCGAATGCAACTTGATGGCACTTTCTATTCACCTCAATGACCTCACATGTACACGCTGTTCTGGACAGAACAATTACCTGCCCAAAAGAGTCATTTGCTCTGGATTCTGGATACCATCAAGCCAATTGGTTAAAACTTAACACCTGCCCCAGATGGTCATCTCATTGAAGCAAAGGTAAAATCAGATGCATAAGAGGCGATGGGCACCCCCCCTTATTTTATAGATCAGCCTCCAAACCATTTTCCACACACCAGCATGGGATCCTCTTCAACATCAAGTAAAGTATGATGCCTTTCTTCTCCCCTGCCTCCTGCTTCCAGCTGCCCTGTCTTTCACCGACAGCTGGCCTCCTCTTTTGCTCTCCCTCCCAGATTCACACTGTCTCTGGGAGAAACTCTCCCTAATTTCAATTAGGTATTTGGTTTTAAATTGTTACTACTGACCGGACTGTAATGGTTTTCATGCATTTTAATACTTATTTCCCCATGTTAATAATTACTTGCTTATAACGTATCCTGTTTTCCTCCATCTTTGTTCCCCCTATCCCACAGGTTTAATGCAGCAGAACTGACAGCTGTATAGACACACACCAAAAGATCCCATAATTTACCCCTGTGTCATTTGCTTACGTCTATATATATATGTGACACCCTTACCATGGCAGACTGGGCCCAGGTACCAATTAGGTAGACAGCAAAAGTTATTGTACTTTTGTTAAAGTATGCAGTTTTAGCTCACATATTGTAAATGCTGCTTCTAACTTGTTAATAGCTGTCTTTCTTTCATTTGCCCACTACTAAGAAAGAATTCAGACCTGAAACTGGGAAGACAATATCAAAAGAAACAGTTTGATCTTCTGCCTAATAATAGAACTCCTCTTATCTCTCTCAGCTTCCATTTCTCAATGAAATAGATAAAGGAAATTCCTATGAAGTTAATCACCTTCAAATTAGTGCATCAAATCTCTTCCAGACTGATCAAGAGTCTGAATACAAAGCTTAAGAATTCCCTAAAGCTTCAGCAATTCCTAAAAATAAAACTGAGTGTTCCAAAAGACATTTGGCTAAATTAAAGATAAGCAGCTGTATTTTTATTTATTTATTTGATTTTTTTCAACTGCCCTCTCACAGGACGCTGGGCTCAGAGCAGTACACAACACGGTCATAAAATATCAATTAAAAACAGGTTAAAAACGAGTAACAGAAATGTAGCTGGAGATGGTGCAAGAGAAGCCAGTAGTGCTTGCTGTCTCATGGGATGGGGGAGTGCCAGGATGGAACCATTGCTGTCCTCAACCAAACGCCTGGCAGAACAGCTCTGCCTTACAGGCCCTGTGGAACTGTAACAAGTCCCACAGGGCATGGATGTTATTTGGCAGAAAGTTCCACCAGGTTGGAGCCATGGCAGAAGAGGCCCTGGCTCTGGTCAAGGATAGCCGGATGTCTCTCGGGCTATGGACCACCAATAGATTTTTATCTAAAGAGCACAATGCTCTTCTGGGGGTATACCAGGAGAGGCAGTCCCGAAGGTACATAGGTCCCTGACCATTTAAGGCCTTGAAGGTCAATACCAGGACCTTGAACCTGATCTGGTATTCCACCGGAAGCCAGTGCAGCTCACCCAACACAGAATGGCTGTGTTGTGCACGGTGTCCCTCTAAGGACCCACACGCCACTGCATTCTGTACCAGTTGGAGTTTCTGGGTCAGCCTCAAGGGTAGGCCCATCTAGAGCAAGGTACAGTAATCCAGCCTGGAGGTGACCGTTGCATAGACTAGCTGGGTGAGGGGCCACATATAGATGTTAAATAACAATGGGGAGAGGATTTCATGCTCATCACCTTCAAAGAGATCAGAAAGCTATTTATTTTACTTATCTAAATGTGTCAAATTAAAAACCAGCTAAGTTTGTAGATGTTAAATTTATTTTAGTTACAAAGTAAGGCGAGAACTTTTTATAGGACAGAGTTTTATTTTTGAATAAACACACCCTGGACAGCATGATTCCCTCACTTTGCCTGACAGACTTGTCCCTGACAACAAACAAACAAGCAAGCCTTGACCTTACATCTGTTCTGTATATTGTTTGTGGGATCTTAATTAAGACCTAGTCTAGCCCTATCTTGTCAGATATCGGAAGCTAAGCAGGATCAACCATGGCCAATAAATCAATGCTCCCTCTAAGCTCCTGTGAGCAAAAATTCTACTTCATGAGCTACTGGCATTAAAGTTGTGAGTGAGCTATTTGGCTACTGCCTAAGTGAGCCAGAGGCTAAAAAACTGTGAGCTAGCTCACACTAATTCAGTTTAGTGGGGACATTGCCAATAATTGATGGGAGACCACCAAGAAATACTATGACCAGTATGCAGGGGAAGGCAATGGCAAACCATCTCTGAACGTCTCTTGCCTTCAAAACCATATAGGGTCACCATAAACTGGCTGCTACTTGATTCCCCCCCCCCCCAATTAAGAAGTGCCATTCCATACTAAAATAATTGGTCTAAACTTTGGGAACAAGATTTGAGCATCTGGTTCAATAATGTCTAATTACCAGATGTTTCAGTTTTGGGATGTATTTTCTTATGCTTTTATGACTTCATTGTTACACCAAAAATCAGGGGATAATGTTACATGGCATCATTTTGCTAAATGAAAATGCCAACTAAAACATGTTTCCCTTTTATTAACAGTATTCCAACATATATATTGAATAAACTCCATAAGTCATATTACAATGCCATGTATAAAACCTGTACTGGTGCTGGTGGCAAAGTCTTACCATAGGCTTAAAGTACTATATTACAAGTCTCCTGGGAATAGTGAGGTACAAAGAATTAAATGCTAGTTGGAAGTGGACTACCAGGCTTTTAAACAAGAAGGGAAGGAGCATTCAACAACAGGATATGCATAACTGGGCCTGTCATACAAAGATGAAATGCTGCATAATTATTGTGTAAAAACCCTCTCTGGTCCATGGTGCAGCACACTGGTTAAACAAGCTAAGGAACACACTGCACAACTAGGAAACAAATTCCCAGTTCAAACCTTACGTCAGCCATCAGGTTATCTGTATTTATTATGTTTTTACACCATCTTCCTCCAAGATCTGGCCATCACAGACCTTCCTATCCTTTTTCATTTTCTCCACACAACAACTGTGAGGTAGGTTGAGAGTAAGCACCTGGTCCAAAATCACCTAGCAAACCTCTCGGCAGAATGAGGATTCAAACCTAGGTCTCCCAAATCGTAGTCCAACATTCTAACTAGTAGACTACACTGGCTCTCTTGAAACAAACAATTTCTTCCAGGTTCAGTTTTTTATTTACAGTATGTTGGTAACAGTGGCCTGATTTACAGGGCTGCTGTAATGAGACATTTGAGATGCTCGAATGCAAACTGCTCAGAACCCTACTTAAGTACTTATTCTAAATTCCGAGGGGATGGAGGGAGACATCCAATGTTCCCGCTATATATACCCCTACTAAGTGGGGCAGTTCACACCCTGAGCAGAATATAACTGCCGTGATCTTAAAATGGGCAATGGGCACGGGGCTTCCTGTGTTAATGTTACTGAGCGCGCAACATAGAGGGAACACTGGGGACAGAACAGGGCATGTAACAAACAAAACAAGGAAAACACAGACGTGGAAGGCACACGACGCAGCGTACTTGCTGAAGCTCAGCCGGTCTGGCCAGTGCCTGGGTAAGAAGCCTCCTAGGAACATTTCCGTGCGCCGCCTTGACTTCCACATAATCGGACAAATATGAGAAACCTGCCCTGCCAAAGGCTCGCTTGAATTGCCACTCCAGCAACTGAGGCGTAGTAAAACTGAAGCGGTTCTTGCGCTTGATCCTGAATCCTCGCGGCTGCCCGTCGCCCCACTCTGACTCACCAAACCCCAAGATGGCCAGCCT